ATATATATATTGCATTTGTTTGCATGTAAAAATATACTATAAAATGTAAAAAAGGTACACACTAATGGGTAAGCAATCAAGAAAACTTTATTGATACAAACCTATTTTCCATCTAAGTGACTAAAATACAGCACTTCAAAACCATCTTGTCAAACTAATGACTTATTTGGCCTTCAGCCACTCGTTCAACTACTGGACAGATTTAGAACTCTCTGTAAGTGAACTTTAAACAAGCTAATCACTCATTTAAACAGGATCCACAACAAGGGAAGAAAACATGATATAAAGGCTCCAAATATCCAGTCTATTATCTTATTTAACAGTCCATCTTGTTTTTTTGCTTTACTTGGTGCCTTGACTCACAGATTCTTGTTTTGATCGATTTTCTTAGAACTGATATCTTGGTCCCTACATGGTGGTTTACAACAGCATCTGTGGAACAGAACAATAACAAATAATTTGTAATAAGACATGAGGAATTAAAGCAATATCCATAATAACTACATTAAATCATGAGCTGGCTTAGTGAATAATAGGGAATTACAAATAGTGGAAGAACAGGGGCCTTAGGGTGTCCTCTACTAGGACAGGTCATAAGGTCAGCAAATTTGGCATGGTTCCTTCTTTGGGGAGCATGAATGCCAGTTATATTTCATGGCTATCTGCTCAACAGATTGTGAGGTATCAAATTTTATATTATGACCTCTGATAAATAAGTCATCAAAACCCTGATAAAACAGCTGATATACAGCTGTGTTTACAGCCCAGGATTCTGTTGATCCCATGTTCTTAAACAATTTCAAACCCTGGATATGATGGTCAGTGCCTCCTCTTGACCTCTACAGATAAATGTGTTGATGTGTAGTTATTTATATTTTGTATGGTAATTGAATATAGGCTTGTTACATGCTGCTGACTGATATAAAGCCTGTAGTCTTGCGAACTGTGGTTTCAGATTTGTTTGCCATTAGATTCATTTTCTGAGACTAAGTCAGTGTCAGACTCATTAGTGTGCAACTACTATATTTCACCGATTTAGTTTTGGGGTAAGTAGTCTGTGGTTATGTTATTTTCACAAAGAGGTTCTGCATTTAGCTGGAGGTTACACCAATGCAAATATATAGTATATGCTGCTGGCTATGGTAGTCAAAGATCCTAATGAGCTAGTATTTTATTTTAAGGTATTATAAATAAAATTAAAAATGTGCTACAAAATTATACTGGTGGCAAACATTATGGCCATATACCGAGTAAGAGGAAGATGTGCCTTAGCTTTGTGTATTGCATTATTTCTTAATCTCATAAACCAGATGAAATCTCACAGGTTTTCACATTGTAAGAGACAGTCCTCCACCATTCCCCATTCAAAATATTCTGAGACGGTAGACTTGCCACAAATTTTAACTACAAAAATAGCAGGATTTTCTCTTGGAAATCTTTGGTACCTGAGCATGCCACAGGCACTTTAAGGCAGTGTGTCAAAGTAATGATTGTTTTTTTTATGCAAGCCCACCTGTTTTCTAGTATCTGAATGGGAATCATCATCAGACTTTTGCAAAGTGAAATGAATAATTAACCACATTAAATCATTTCATCTGAAATGAAATACACATTTATGGATTTCATCTAAAATGAAGGGTAAAGACAATTACTTTTGATTATACATTAACCATTACACAGATATTCTAATTTGACACCTGTTCTAGTTTTGAGGTTATTTTCAAGTTACAATTGCTAATGTATTAAAAAGCCATCATGTTAGAAACTCTGACATACTATATATACACTATGATGTGGACTATAAGCAGAAATTCTATTTCTAAACAGTATTAAGTAATGCACAGTCATGCACTGTCTAAATGAGAGAATGTGTTGAAGGCTGTATAGATAGTAGTGTTGTCTTTGGTCACATCCAGCTGCAATTCCATTTCCCCACCTAGTGTAATGTACACCGGTCAGGCATAACATTATGACCACCTGTACACCACCACCTTTAACTATGACCTCAATAATGAACATATTATTGAATTCATACATTTATGACAATCTCACCAAAAACTGAAACATTTTGAGTTTTATAAACACACACGTTAAGGCAGAAATGTTGCATTGAAGTGAATACAGAAGTACAGATGTCACAATGTTCTGTCTGATCGGTGTATAGCTGTTCAATTACCATTCTTGGCATTTCCCAGTTTTTGTCTTCAGTGGGAGTTGAACTGTCATCTTGGGTTTTCTGGCTCTTTTGTGATCTTTGGGTGTGTCCACCTTTAAAAGTTCCCGCTCAGCAGATTTCAATGTAGACTCTTTTTCTACATTAATGTAGGAAGATAAGAGTTTTAATGCCAGCAATATGCCAAAAATCAACACCATGGGCTAACAGAACAATCTGGAAAATAACACTGAGTCCCAGTACTGATTTATTTTAAAAGAAATGTCAGCTCTGTAAATCCAGGTAATGTAACGTTACAACTTTTGATCATTATTGCAAAGTAACTTCATGAACCTTCCGGTCCCAGAGTGAGTTTAACAATTCAGGTAGCTTATTTGGCAAAAATGTATACCTGGCTATACACTGCTAATGTCACAGTAACACAAGTAATGTTACTTTATTAGCATGCTAAAAAGGTTAAGTTATGGTCATTACTTGCCTGCTAAGTGCAGCAACACTGCATGCTCAACTTGCCATCCCTTGGCAAGCTTCTTGGTGTTAGCCACACGACGTTCCACAAGATATGTCCTGGAAATATCTGTCGCATCAAAGTCTATTATCCAGGCTGTTGGTACAGCGCTAACCGCATCTTTATCTGGGCCCTGAATCCAAGACACCGGGGAATAACGATACTTCGTCATCCCGTCAAACTCGAAGCCTTTGTTACTTCTCCCTACAACGTTAGCAACCTTACTGTACTGTGATTGGCGATGACTACTATGCAGCCATTGGCTAGTAGTCATTGATTTAAATGTTTATGGTTTTGTGAACCAATCACAGCTCACTTATCCGCGATTCGCGCTCAGTAGCACGCGCATATCCACTATGGGAAAACTGGACCACATTGAAATGAATACATCAGTACAGGCATACAGTTTGAAAGTGAGCACTCAATCCATTAAGGTATAAATATAAAATATTTTCCTCCTATCATGCTGACAAAGTGACTTTAACAAGGCATCAGATTGTCCAACTTTTTCCCCTATGTAATATCATATACTGTATTTTCATTTATGAGATGTGTAACTATATAAATAATATAGTGAGATGACTGCTCATGTTAACTGATGAAAGAGAAATGAATGAATGAATTTGTTTCAATAAAACTATTATATGTAAAAATTTAGTGCAGATTTTGTCCCCATTGCAATATTATTTTTTATTTTATCAATATATAACCATACATGTTCCATACACATATTACAGTATACTGAAAAATATAAGCACTAGTTTTCCATATATGAAAATCTATTATGCATTATATTGCAATATATTCTTGTTTTGTAAGGGGAGTCTGCATCTTCTCCCTGTGCTTGCGTGGGTTCTCTCTGGACGCTCTGGCTTCTTCCCACACATAAGGTATGAGGTACACATAAGGATTGACACAAATGAATGTAATTTGAGGTGAACATTACTAATGTCCATTTTAAAACAACTGTTTGACATTTTGGGGAAAAAACTCTTGCTGGCTTTTTGGCCACAGGTTAGATGAGAAGCTTGATAAAACACTCTCACCCTGTCTCTTAAACATGAAGCTGTACCTAGATCATGTTTTGATGGTGATTTGATGATGGCTCACAGAGAGGATGTTTCAGGATTATTCAAGGATGTTTTTGAAAGATGTTTGGGGAGTTTGAGCTTTGATTAAAGGATATTTTGCCCAAGATTTTTTGATAATTCAGATCCAAGGATGTTTCAGGAACAAATTAAGGTATTTAAGATGATTCAAGGCTGATTTTGAAAGATTCAGGGTAGTTTCGAAGATAATTTGGTGATGATTCAGTATCTGTGATGAGATGCAATGAAGTTTTGGGAGATCTAAGGAAAATTTACCAGTGAACAAAGATGTTTTAAAGGGTGTTTCATGGACTGAAGGATGTTTTATACTCACCGGACAGGAAGTTGTTCTGGGCGTCCAGCAGGGTGGCGATCGTCTCCACCCAGGTCATCTTGATACTGGCAGAGGACGCCTGCAGTGTGAAGCGCTCTGCCGAGCCGCGAGACCACAACACGAACTTGCAAGGATCCCCGTCCACACTGTCCTGCATCGCCAGGTAACTCACCTGATCACACACAACAAGAAGACCATCCTCACCAGTATAAACCAGTTGAAATCAGCCTAAACAGGTATCTGGTCTAACCAGTATAAACCAGTCTAACCTTAATGCTGTTCTTGAACTGGTACCCTGGGTTGTTGGAGCCTTTGCGCAGTAGTTCGCTGAAGATGATGATCTGCTCGAACAGGAAAACTCTGCGCTCTTTGCTGCGAGACAACACTCCTCCATCCTGCTCCAAGACAAAGAAGGTCTCCTGCTGCAGCAGCTTCCCCTGAGACGTCAACTTCCCCTGGACGACAGGCAGACAGGTGAGGACATTTATCAATTTTATGGCCACTCGATCAATCAACTAATAGTTTTGGCTCTACTTGTGCAGCATATACTGTTGGGTAGCTATATTCATTCATGTTTATCTTTTGTAGAGTGTCTAGCTATCAGATGGGCCTCCATTTCTTTCTGAAATGTACAGGTTTAGAAGAAAACAATGTAAAAGTGCCTCTAATCAAGTACAGTATTTGAGTTCATGTATGCGGAGCACAGACAGGTAGACAGACAGTTGTACCTCGTATCCCTGTAGGCGTCCCAGGTTCACCATGTCATTGCAGCGCTTTGGAACCAGCGACATCAACTCCACCGCTTTCTGTACAAACACACACACACACACACACACAGGAATTTTGTGTGTGTTTGCGATGGTCTACTGGTGATGATTCAATGATGTAAATCATTGAACAGCATCAACAGCGCCACCAGTATCTGGGACTCACCTCGATCTCTTCACAGTCCAGTCCTGCTTTGGACGTATACTTGAGAAAATCCTGTGGGACAGGTAGACAGATGGATGTTAACTTTATCAGAACCTAAGAAAAAAGGCTACAGATGATTCAGCTGCTTTAATATTATGGAAATGTTAGAAATATTTGTATTTGGGAAATATTTACAAATACTTGGGCACGAGGTCCCTATGAGTTGTACTCTATGTCTAGAAAACAATAAGTCTTTAATACTAATGAAAGTAACCCAGAGCTTTTCTCAGGAGCCTGCAATAACTGTGGATCAGTGTATAGTAAGTGTGGAAGAAAAGATTGCAAATACAGTAGAAGCACAACTCAATGTTTGAAATTTCCCAAATGAGTGTTTTTGCTGCTGTTTAATGTTGCAGATCTTATCTTATTTCAGTGCAGTGAGTGTATGTCACTGTATCGGTCACCGGTCACTTGTGTTGATGCAGCTCTAACAGTGACTGCACCACACAGACCTTTAGCAGCAGCTGGTACTTGGTGATTCTCTGGATGGGCTTGATCAGATAATCACTGATGGACATCCTGCAGCTGATCTCATGCTGGATCTCCTGTGGACAGACAATTTGAGATTCTGACATGAAGGCCACTGTTGTTTCTTCTTGCAGATCAATGATTTTATCGATGGTTCTCCTGTGTTTTGCTGCTGATCTGTGAAAAGTCCCTTCCATGCCAAAATCCATTCAAAAAGCAGCCTATTCAGTGAAGTCTGCAGGTACGTATGTCTTTTTTTTTTTAGATGGAAATCAGTTTTTGGACAGTTCTGGCTCAAACGGCAGCACATGACTAGAGGTGAAATGATTAGTCGACAGCTTGATTAGTTGGCAGATAATTCATCTACAACTATTGTAATAGTCAGTTGATGGATTTCAGTCTTTTTTTGAGTAAAAACACTAAATATTCTCTGGTTCAACCTTCTCAAATGTAAGAATTTCCTGCTTCTCTCCTTTTTATGACATTGTAAACTGATCGGTTTTGGTCACTGGGCTGTTGCTCAGATAAAAAAAAGGTGAAGACTTTATCTTGGACTCTGGAAAATAATTATTGATCAATTTAACTATTCTCTGACATTTTACAGAAAATACATATATATAAGTTAAGATTAATTGGCAGATTGATCAATAATGAGAATTAGTTGCAGCCATATTTCCCACAGGCTAACGTTAAAGGCATCAAATACGAATGAAAGATGAGAAATAGTAGAGAAAAAAAGAATAAAACACAAAATGTACATTCTATATAAACATCTACACTCGTCCTCTACAGTGCTTAAAGTCTCTGACACTTAAAGGATCAAGCTGATATTATTTTATATTTTTGTTACTGCCACCAAATCCTGTGTACTGACCCAATTGTCTCTCAACACTTTCTGACTCCCTTACTCTTTAAAAAAGGCTCCGGATTTTTACAAAAGAAGCTGCTAATGGTAGTGTTTCTCAAAAAGAAGGAGGAAGTAGTGGAGTTGCTGGGGACTATTTTCAGCAGTGGATGAATCCACATTTTCTAGTGAGTATTTGTGGCAGCAGGACGGTGTGTGTGTGTCTGTGTGTGTGACTGAGTCAGAATTCATTCATTGTTGGTTTGAGACTGTACAGTGTAGAACACCACCAGATTTATACACGGAAGCACAAAACTAATTCAGAGACACAAAGAAAAGGTGAGATTTTACCTCAAAGAAGGTCTCGTACTCGATGACAATGAACTCTGACCTTGGCTTGTTCTGACAGTAAACCACATACATGTGCAAACGGCGCTCCTGCAACAATATTGACAATCAGTCAACAGATTGGTAACATTCAGGTGAACCTTCTGTAGGAGCAGTGTGATAAATGATTGGCAGCTCCTGGTCCTAAAGTTGTTACCATGGTGACAAGAAGTCAGGGAAGTCAGTGGTGCTGTTCTGTGTTTCTCTCCCCTGTGTGTTGCTGTAGCAGTGTACTACCTTGTTACTGCGATGATGCAGCGGTTTATGGTGCTTTGTCCCTGCATTTATCACCCAGCTGTACAAATCTGTCACTAGTTGTCATGAGGAGGTGAGAGGGAGCTAGTTCTCCTCTGACATGGAGAGGCCAAAAGACAAAAGGCTAAATTACACTAATTCAAGCCTGTTTTGTAAATTTAATTCAGTTGCTCTAAATTCATGCATGTAAAGGTAATATATACAGTATATCACTGTGCATAGCATTCCCCTTTATTGCTTTGCTTGGTTTATTTTTATTTTGGCACATGTTCTTGCCAGTGTAATTTCTGTGTCTGCTTTAACCTAAAAGACAGCATGGCTTCAGCTGTTCTTCTACTGTGCTGCTGTATAAAATTGGTCTAAGATAAATTATAGATAAATCTAACAATCCAAACTGATGCAGAAAACAGGTGTAAATGTTATGCAGTGTTTACCCCAGAACCCGATTGGCCTCCAGTGCGAGTTTGTGTAAAACTCACATGTCTGATGAAGAGGTCGGCCAGCAGGTCGTGATTCTGAACACAGCGCTCCAGCTCCACCAGGAAGAAACTGAAAGAAGAAAACACACAGGGGCTCACACAGTGAGGGAAGCAGGGAAACGCACAAGTGTCTGTGTGTGTGTGTTAATGTTTGTGCACGGACTCGCGATGCCAGTCGTAGATCTGCTGGATGTTGCCAAAGACGATTTTGTCTTTTCCTGTCATGTCCTCTGGGATCCCTCTGACCTCCAACCGGGACATGAAGCCCTGGTGGACAGAGACACTTCATGCATCACAGATTTTATTCTACAGTAGTTTAATCTCAACGGCCGGGCCAGTTTGAGACAGACGCAGAGGAGCAGTTACACATTTCTGTTGCCTTCAAAAATGCCTCAAGCAAACGGAAAGTGGCCAACTTATAAAACAATAAAAAGTCCCTATAGCCTGCAGTTACCACTACTGTATGATGCCGGTACTAACACAATACTTTGTTCCTACTGGTACTTACAAGTTAATACATTGGAGGTAAACAGGACTATGGGGAACAAGACACTAATATCTGGGCATTTTTTATACCTCTGGGAAACAGTGCTTATAAACAAAAGTGAAGTTAATAATATGTTCTGCTAATTTAACTTGTTTTTTTATAGTTACATTATGCTGCCACAACTGTGGGGGGAACAGTGAGATAGTGAAAACAGCTTTAAACTCAGATGGACATGACAAATATCTGGGTTATGTTCCTGAAATGACTAAAGAGAGTTACTTGAGTATTTGTGTTTTTATGGAGATGTAGTTGTTAGGTTGGTGGCTCAAACATATGTGGCTAAACTTCAACTTTTTAAAAGTAACGTTGTTTTAATTATGTTAAAGATATGCAGACTAATCTCCTTTTTTATTTTTAACTACACACTATAACAACAAACTGTGTTGACTGCGCTTTTCTTTGCCAAACTTCAGCTTTGTTTGTCAGTACTATACCTTGTAGACATGGACGGAATATGAGACAGTGAGGCCCCTGGGCACAGACATGTAAAAGGCCCCAACCTCCCCTACAACTATAGTCCCTCCATGTTTGTCTTGTCTAGGGGCCCCATGACTCCTTGGGCCCCTGGGCCTGTCAGTAGGCCCATTCATTAATCATCCATGCTTGTAGGTACACAGTACTCAGGAGTATTTTTTGTCCTTTCATCTAAAACAGCCAGTTATTAATATTTTTGTTTTCCTTCACTACTCCTACAGTAGGAATAGGTCAGTGTTTTATTTGTGCCTACTTTATACAGTGAAGTTACATTTAAATTGTGGGCTGTATTATAAAGTGTAGCCTTGTCTAAAGTCCTCCAGCGTCCCCTAAAGGCTGCTGTCTTCATTACAACAGCAAAATCCTAATGATTTTTGTTTTACTAGAGTCTAACAGTAGTGGAACAAAAATATAAAGGAATGTGATAAGGAAACATATTCCACAAAAATGAGCAAAAAAAGCGAACGTCTAGTGGATGGGTCTTTCTTTCTGAACATTTTCACATCATTGTGATAATTGTCTTTTGTGTATTTAGTATGAAAAGTGCCTGAAGACATTTCATGTCTCACCTCTACGATCACACCCAGGTCCTTCACATAGTCCTTTTCTGACTGGACCATCTCATTAACCACAAACCTGCACAGACACATAGAGATAAGGTTTACCTCTTTAAAATGTACTTGCATTTTAAAAGTTGTGTCTGTGCATGTCTTACATGCGTCCTCTCAGAGCCTTGTTTCTCTGTTCGGTATCAGACTCATTGGAGCCCTGGTCTGAATCCAGAGCCTGAAGAGAGAGGCAGAGGAAGTGGTTACGCTGGTTTAGTCAACAAAAGAAAGAAAACAAAACCAGTCCAGTGGCACTTCAGGTCACAGACACATGACATGTACATACATTTGTTAAAGCAAATTACAACAATTTCAATAGCAGTTAACCATAACCCAGCTTATTTTAAATTTATATGAAATGAAATAATACAGCAAAACTATACACACTCAGTGATACTCTCTCTAGCCTGTTTTGAAGTTTGTTGCTAGTGGCTTTTCGTTTTGGCACAAAAGTTGCTAAAGGGACCTGAAAAGTCACCACATTTAGCCAGAAGCTACGATGGCACCACTGGTAGTACTGTATTATTGTGTCATTATGACATTCTGTCACCTCAGGGTTGTTGGGGTCTTTGATGATCTGCATGGGCGGTGGTAGAGGGGTGTGGCTCTCTTCCTCCGGCTCCTCCTCTCCTCCGCTCTGCCCCGCCTCCTCTTTTCTCGCTTTCTGCAGAAAAAAAAATAGTGTTACGTTGCTCTGCTCTTGCTTTCCTTAACCTTGGTGTCTTTGTGTATACCTACAGTCTGAGCGTTGTTGGTGAGGGGTGTGTTCATCTCCAGCCTGTTGTCCCGCCTCCTGGTTCTCATTGGTGGTTTCTTCTGTCCGTCAGCTTTACCTTGGCTCAGTCTCCTTACTGGACTCGTCAACCAGCGCTACAAAAACACACAATTTTAATACCACCACTGATACTACTGAGGCTTGTACTCCTACTAGTTTGGCACATACTGATACTAATGATAGTAGTACTATGAGTTACGAGTAATAGGCTTTAATACTACAACGTAGAAACACAGGGGTCTCTTCGAAACTTGAACCAGAGCAGATGCATTCTGGATATTGAGAAATGAGTGATTTATGTCTGCTGATGACGACCACATGATGTTTGAAAGCTCTAGAAGAGCTAATAAAGTGTTTGTTAAAGATTAAGTCTTCTCTGAAGAGTACCCATGAGCCATTGGCTGCTGTTGCTGTAGCTGATATTACCTCTGCTTGTGTTCACAGATTCAAGACAATCAGCTATTAACCTTCAGGGTATTCCCAGTTCCAGAGCCGCTGCGTTTTGGCCCCGGAGAGCCGGCAGCACCACCTGGAGTCCCACCTGCTCCATACACTGTAGGGGAGGTGGCACCTGAACAACAAAAACGAGGAGGTGCATGAGAGGTGCTGAGGAGTACGTCAGCATGGTGAGTAAATTCAGTGATCAACTGATCATCAACCGATGAAGCCTCTTGGATGAGAGGTGAAACGTCTTCGACCTAGAAATCTAAGTCCAGTTGATTTTTTCTACGTTTTTCAGTTTACTATGACCTGGATGACTGAGGATCTGCACAGATAAATTCAGTGATGATCATGTCTCACCTTGACTGGTGGCCTGAGTCTGGAGTCCTGAAGCTTCAGAGCTGCACAGGCTAGAGTCTGCAGAGGCACAAACAAAAGGGTTAAATATGAACCTAAAGCCATAATGCTTTACATCCAGCTGTTTTTAATGTGTATTTTCATTTTAAGCATAAAAAACATGGCCAAATTATTAAAACAGTTTACATGTTCCTGTGGTGGACAAGTTTTCATATCAGAAAACAGGAGGCATAATGAAGGCCAACAAAAACCGATTTCACTGAACTGAGGATTAAAGGTAATGTAGCATTAAACTCTGTTACTGGAGTGCATGTGAACTATTAGAGAGTGAGACACAGCAGAGACTGTTCTTCCTGTCGTCACCTTCCAGCTCAGCAGCGACCTCCTGCAGACCGAACATAACACTGTGACACAGCGGGTGTGGTATGGAGTGAACATACGTGTCTGCGTGTCCTGTTCAACCCTCACATGTGTTCACACAGTAACATGTTAATATTTCTACCACATGTTATTTAAATAACTGTGTTTGCTTTAATGGTAGAGCGACAATAAAACAGACAAAGTGAGAGAGAGGCGGGTCAACAGTGTCACCTTGTTCTGTCACTTATTAACTAACATATTTCCTCTCCAACGCTCTCTTTAATATTAAAAACCCACCTTGCTCGTGCTCTCCCTCTCCCACAATCCATCCCCATATAGGAAAACAATCCCAGCATACACCTCTGCCCCTCCGCATATTTTAATATCAGTCCATTCAGAAAAAATAAAGATGAGAAGTGACAAAGATGGAGAAAGACAGAGGTGTTTCTCTCCACAGAGCTGAATGAAACTACAGAGGAGTGAGAGGTTTGCTGATGGACGGGCTGAACAACAAGGGGTGGGGGCAGAGGAGGAGTGGGCGGGGCTAACAGAATCATAAAATTTATTTTGTTCATAAAACCCAGCTTAAAACTTGTCACTGCTGGGAAAAATGTTAAATCACAGTAAAAATAACAGTAATTGAAACAAAGGAAAGAAAATATGAAAATGAATTGAGAATTAAATTATAAAATATTTAAAAATTAAAAGTAAAAAGACAAAACATTAAGTGTAAATAAAATATATAAAAGGAACAAAGTAATGAACCTTAACAGTAAAATAAAGTAACATTTAATAAAAGAAAATAAATCTGAATAAAATAAAATATGCTAAATTTAAATAAACATGGCAAAACTGAAAAACAAAAATCTATTTTTGGTTAAAATAAAATAAATGAAAATACATAAAATAGACAGCATCATCAACATCAGCACCTTTTTTTATTCAGGGGAAGACCAGTTGAGAGCAAGCTCTCATTCTCAGTGGTGAATCAAATCAAACCAGTATTAAAATCTAAAATCACATTAAAACAATAAAATATACACCTAAATCAAATTAAACACACAGTGTCCAGATCATCTGTTAAATTCACATTTAAACTGTGAAATACTGTGTAAAAGCAGTTTAAATTGAGATAAAGGAACGAGCACAGCCAGGTTAGTTTTTTCTGCAAACTGTTCCATCTCTGCAGCAGCACAGTAACAGAAGGACATCTGTGTGTTGGCAAACAAGGGCTGCAGAACAAGATGATCTTGTGGACGGGTCAGCTACATTGACCTGACTTACAACTCAGGAGGCCTGTAATATAAGCAGCCTATTAAGTAGTGGGGCTTTATAGATAGATAACATACAGCGATGCTCCCTTCTCAGTGTCAGAGATGGCCAGCCCAGTCTCTGGTATAGTTCACAGTGGTGAGTCCTGAAGGGACCTCCAGTAACAAGTCCAACAGCAGCATGATGCACTGAGCCAAGTGGTTTCAGGGTTTCAGCAGAGACAGGCATGTCAATTATATCACTGTAGTCTGTTACAGATAAAACTGTTGCTTGTTCCAGCTGCCTCCTGTGATGCTCATTAAAACTAAATCTGTTTCTATACAGGAATGAAAGTCTGGGCTTATGTGAAGCAGTTAATTTCTCAATATGCAATTTAAAACTCATCTGTCTAAGCAAAAGCCAGAGACTGTGTCAATGACAGCACTGTTCAGTGCAGCTATGTCTAGATTTAAATGATGTTTTCTAGTAAAAATCATATACTTAGTTTTTCAGGCATTTAATGTTTAAGATCAAGAAGATGACGTTGAACAATGTTAAAATCAGACTGAAAACGCTGAAAAGTCTGATCAATAGATAGGCCCACTGTATAAATGGCCAAGTCATTTGCAAATAAATCCATAGTAGTGCTAGTTACTTTGGATCCTATGTTATTAATGTAAGTAATGAATAAAATGCGGCCCAAAATGGATCCTTGCAGGACTCCTCTAAGAATACCCATAAAATTTGACATAAAACAATCCACTACAACAGCGTGTGATCATTCAGACAAATATTTACTAAAGCAATTAAATGGCTTCTCATCAAATCCACTAAATACATGAATCAAACTTTAAGAACAGAAATATATTTTTATTATTATTAATAATGATAATCATAAATCATAAATTAAGATAGAATCATATCCATCTATTATCTACACCACTTATTCCTGGTAAAAATATATAATGTGAAAATAAACAAAAAGGAGAGAATGAGAAACAATGTTCCTTATTTAGTAAAATAAAACAATAAACCACTGAACTGACCTGAACAACAAGTACTTGATTGTGAAACTAAAGGAGCTACACATGCACGCTGTAATACACACACAGACAGTGACAGGATGTTAAACTACAGATTCCTGTTGAGTCTGAAACTCCTTCAGGTCAATGTTTAACCCTGAAACGGTCCCACCTCTGTACTCTGTGTGTGTGTGGGGAGGGTGGGGGGTGGTGGAGTGAGACAGAGAGAGAGAGAGAGACCTCTTGCCAAACCAGTCACAGACTGTGACAAATCTTCCTTATCTCACCAAGGCCACCCCCACTTTCATGCGGCTAAATTTGAGCTCTGCTTTCATGCAGTTAGTTTCCAGTCAACACTGACAGAAAATCTACACCAACTCTGTTGTCTTTTAATTTAATGACAGCAACGTTGCTTTCATGCTACTATCTGATGCTGAATGTAGCTGGATGTCTTTAAGTAATTAGGCAATTGTGAAACAAAATGCTGAAATGAAGGAACACCTTAAAAGATTAAACAAACAGGTGGAATGAAAAATAGATGTAATAACTACAGATGAGTGAGCATGACTTTGTTAACTGTGGGGACTTTAGCTTAATAAATTTGTCAGCATGTATCCAAATTTATTACTTGTGAGGACATTTATTGTTACATTTATTACTAATTTAAGTGTCTCACTGACTCGAGCTGTGTGCTGTGAAAAGCGTTGACTATGGGACTGCACCATTCTGAGGCTTTTATCAGTCAGTGTGGATGGAAGCTCAAAACATACAGAAAACTGCCTCTTCCTCCGTATGAGTGCTGGCGCTTTCTCTAAACACTCACAAAGCTACAGGTTAATGTGAAGCTGCAGATCCTAACAATGTTTTTAATTTTTTATGCTCAGCTCCAGAACAAGCACACAGACTTGTTTACACTGTTACAAATATGGATTTAAATATTTTTGGGGATGTGGGACGTCACAGCAGTTCAACACATCACATTGTGGGCTGAGGATGCTTCAAATTCCCTCTGTTTAAAAAAGAAGTGACAGCAGCAGAGAACAAAACATGAATTCAGATCTTTTAATACTTTTCTGGGAGACATTTACTCCTCTCCATTGGTATGGTGGCATCTCAACATGTCAGCTTCATATCTGAATGAGCAGTCTGGTCACTTCTCTGTAAAAGTTGTGACAGAAGTCATACTAGGTTGGACCTATTTACGTAGCGCTGTGTACACACACAGTAAGACTAGCTATTATTACACATTTTTACAAGGAATTTTTTTTTTAGAAATTTTTACAACAGCCTATTTAATTCAACAGAAGCCAAACGAGGCCTGTAACACACCAAGCCAATGGTCAGCTGTCAGTGAGCGTCTGCCACCGTCGTGACTGCAGTGCGTCTCACCCTGCTGACACTAGTCTGACCCTGTTGGCAGCTTTTCAGACAATCCAGCATGTTGAATGGGCATGGACCCCATCAGTGAAAGAGACCGCTCTAATTGGCTGTTCAGCTTAGCAAATCAGTGCACAAGAAGAGGATAGGTCAGGAAAGCCCTTTAGTCCTATTGCTGTAGTATCCATGATTTCTTCCCTTTAGTGTGGTTTCTCCTTATTTTTAAGCTCCCTGACGTCCTTTTTTTTTTCTCCCACTAACAAAAGACCAAAGTCAGACAACACCGGTGCCAGTGCCACTTTTTTATCAGACATATTCTTAATTAGGAGCTATAAACAATCTGTGGTCAAAGACACCTGCTTTGTTTACAATATGTACTGTATATCCACAGTACTAGGTCTTTCTCT